TCCATTATTCATGTTTTAGCATCATTCTTAATTTATTCATTTTCTATCACTTATATAGTGTGGAAAAATTGTTAGTATTCATCTAATTGAAAATACGGAAAAAACACAGAAGTCTGCGCACATAGAATTCGCAAAAAGGGTAAATAAATAGTTTTATGACATAAGTTTAAAAATGTATAATAACTGCATAAATATTTCATGTAGGAAGATGTTCTCGCCGCGTTAACAAAAGACAAGAAGAGGATCGGAGATAATGAAATTAGCGTGTATAAAATTACAGAACATACACTTTTCATCACCAATTTCCCAGAGACTGCTAATCTTAAAGAAATCTTTGATAAAGTAATCAAATTTATGAATGATTTGTATGATTGCTTAATTAAAATTGAATATAATGATAATATATTAAATACGCATTTTTATTTAGTACGGAAAAATAATCGGCATTCGTTACCCAAGCAAAACCAAAAGAGTAGGAAGATTTTGTTATATAGAATATGAAAATCGGGTAAATATTTAACATAGGAATTTTTGGCAGTATATTTTGGCAATCTTTTAATTTATATACTAATGTATTGATTTAAATCAGGAATCTGCTTTATCTGCTCTGGAAATGAATGGCTACGAGATCGAACCAGGAAAGAAGTTGAATGTGGTGATTTCTAATCCTTCATTAAGGAAAACACGTTCTCCACCAAAGTAAGGGAATTATTACCTTGATATTTATAATATTTTTATTATATTTTTAATATTTTTATTTTTGTAGACAAAATGAAATCTATATCAGAAATCTTCCTAGTCATGTTGAAAGTAGTGAATTGGAAACACTTTGCAAAACTGTTAAGCATTTTATTAAATTCGCTTGCTTCACCAATAAGTTACGATGACACTGATAGAAATATGTAATGTTTATAATCTTATAGTATGGACCCATAATTGGAGTTAGAATTCCTACGACTAAGGATAAGAAATGTAAAGGACTAGCATTTGTTGAATTTGAAAGCGAGGTTTGGCACTTGTTTCTTTCTTTATTTTTTTCTCATTTTATTTTAATTTTCTGACCAACGACGGACGGATTCACAGGAGCATGCAAAAGCTGCCCTTTCTCTACATAACACGGAATTTAAAGCGTGTATATTGAACGTGACACTTAGCAATATTGAACGGGACCATGGGCAAAAGTCCACATTCGGTGAGCCTAACAACAAAGAAACAAAGAATAAGTATATGTATGTTTACACAATGTTTAACAAATGCAATATTTTAAACTTCAATTAAATTTATGCAACATCTGAGCATTTATTATTATTTATTTATTATAGGGGTAGCAAACCAGTTAGTACGCCAATGATGCCGAGAAAACTGCAAAAACCATTAACAAGGTTGAAGTTATCTGGGCCAATAAACCGAAATTCGAAAATAGATTAGGGTTTTAAAAAATGGTGCACCTGCACCCCTAATCACGTGATCACCGTGATTAACATATGATACATAGTATTACTTTTTTAATTTATTATTAAAAATAATAGATTAAAGCTAGTTTTGGTTCGGCGGGTTGGTTTTCTTCAAAATCTGTGGATTTTCTAATGATAACAATCCACACATAACTAAGCTTTTGATTATTACAAAAGTTTTTCTTAACTTGTACATATATCAAGTCATAATTTCTCGTGTAGCATCGACTATACTTATACTATTATCGTTATCATTAAAGATATAGTAGCGATGTAAGCGCGTATTCAAAGAATGGATTCAGATCAATG